AGGGCAGACAGATCTGACCATAGCGCCAGCATCACATTCCACAGTACACAACAAATGTCCACATATTTTTCAAATATGGCTTTGTTTTTTTTTTTCATCCAGGCTGTCTGGATCCTGTTACTTATTTTGAAATATGGTAAATCCTCAGAAGTAATAACTTCTGGCAGGTAGCCTGACATGAAATTGCAGTCTTTCACTCCCTTTCCCTTTAATCTGCGACAATTCAATCAGGCAGCTTGTGTGCATACCTGAGCTCTTCTCTGCGCTCTGTCCTTGTTGCAGTCTCGTCAAGCCTTTCTCCTTTGCTTATCTGAGGAGGAGCTGTGGGGGAAGAAAAAGCAGCAAGAGGGGGAGGATTACATGTTTTTTTTCTGATTACTGTAAGATGAGCTGAGGATGACGAGTTTACGATCTGTTAAGTCATAACGTCATTAGAAACCGAAGTGGTACGAAGGAATCAACTTGTCAATCATTACGTCGTTTGTGTTAGAAGTATAAAATGAAAGACTCTCAGGTGTCACGCAATGTGCGTCAAGTTCACAAAAGCAACATGAATATGAAACCATAAATTTAAGGAATTCCTACTTAGAATCTACAACAGATTCTCACTTTTAACATTTTGGTAGATAGACAGGTTTATTTTTCAATAATTAAAATCAATATCAATCAATATGTTTATAAATATGATGGGAAAACTGACTTTGAACTGAAGTGAAAGGAGTCACTTCTAGTGACAAACTCACAGAAATGTATCACTCTTCCCATTTGTTCAATGGAGCATTTTAGCATCTTTCAGTGTATGGTTTTGGTTTTACCGCCTGTAACTTTTTTCTGTTCTGATTCACTTTCACTGCTCTCATCAACTCAGGCAGCTGTTTTTAACTGACAAGCCAACGACCTTCCCATGCTGACCAAGTTCCCCCTAGTTGGTGAACATGGAACATTTTAACAAGCAAAGAACCAAACATTTCCTTCAGGAGTTAGACTAAAACAAAGTAAAGAGGATAAAAATATCTGTAAATGTTGCCTTGTGTCTGCTCGAAGTGTAAATACACATTAGTTTCGCGACACTAAAGGATGGTAATATATTGTGGTTTTAAGCACCAAAAACCATCTCAGTGTAGTTTTTCATCTCCTCTCTCAGGCTTCTCCGGAACTCCAGCATCAACAGGTCAGTGAACCAATCAGAAGCGAGGCTCTGAGCCTCGCTTCTGATTGGCTCACCAATTGGCTTCTTGCTGTGATCGAATAAAAGGAAATCCTGATGGAAGACCTGGCTCGTTTTAAGGCTCAGTTTCTGATTATGGATTGTTTGTCTGTGGACTGAGCGCTTTGATACTTTGGCAGTATTAATACAGAACCCCAGACCTGCTTTATCAAAAAAGACATGGAAATCTCTCTTCATGGGACCCCTTAATTTCATCATGTACCTTATTAAGAAAGGGCAAAGATTGGATGACAGGTCTTCTTAGTCAGGCAAGACAGTCTTGGTCTTTCCTCATCAACAAAATGCACTCTTTTTTTGAAAATCACTTGCATCATGATTCAAATAATTCATTCTGCAGCACAAGTAGTTCTGCACTTCTCCGTCAATAATAAATGACACAGAAGAAAAAGAAATAGCTTTTTAGAGATTATTCAGAGACTAAAAGCACTTGAATACACAATGAGTTTTAGTTTCGTAGTCACAACTTTCAGTCTTGGAAAGAGGAACCATGAGCAGATGAAGGCGGCAAAACTGTTACGCCAAACTGCTGCAGGGTGACGCATGGTAAATGAGGGAAATCTAGGTCTTAATGAGGGAAATATTGGACTCTTGAATTCACAGTGCAATCATTTGGCTTCTGAACACTTGGATTATTCTGCTGAGCTGTTCAGGGTAATTTGCTGGTCATTTTTTTTTTTTTTTTGCACTTTAAGAACTCAAAAAGAAAATGTTCAAGTCCACTTCAGCTGATCAGACTTGCACTTGCTTTGCTAATGCCGACATTAGAGCTTCAAATGTTTTTTTGACTTACTTGAGGGTGAGTAGAAAATGCAAAATGTTCATTTCTGTTTATTTTCTTTACTCACTATTATTTCTTTTTCTCTACTGGCGTCATTACTTATTCAAATAAAATTCTAATATCCACTCATAAATTTCTATTCTTTGCTTTTGGGTGGCTATCATTTAAACTTAAAGTTTCTTACGTGTCAATTCATCTGCACAGCAGCATTTAGAGACCTAACAGCATGAGAAGGCACTGGGGTGGCAGGATCAGCTGCCATCTATGCCAGCCTTAACACCCGCTCAACTCTCACGTATACTGAAGGTGTATATAACCAGAACCTTAGAGACCTAAGCATAGCAGGGTGTAATCATTAAACATTCTCAATGACAAAAGAGCCCTGTGATGCATTGGAGTCGAAACTCTGTGCCTATTGGATTCTGAAAGTGGTCTGACCTTCAAAGTTTCCTCCTGTTGAGAGGGCTTTAGGTAGGGCTGTTTTTGCAGGAAATAAAAGGTGCCACATGTCACCCGAGGATACAAAGTTTGTGGTGCCCTTTTATGTCTAGCCAGCGGTTGCAGGACACTGCTGTCAGACTGACCGATGGTCTGTTGAGCATTAGAAAATGCCAGCCAGGATGTTTTTATGTGTGGACTCACTGACTCAGTGACCATGAGTCTTGGAGAAGTTTGAAGATTTTGTCGGGGTTATATAACCCAGTCAGCCATATTTGTACTAATCAGGACCGGGCTAAGTGAACAGAACAACTCGGACTACTTGGTTGTGTTTTTGGAACTGCATCCATGTTCAAGGAATGAAGATGGAGGTGGTTCATCACTGAAGCCCTCATCATTCACATTGTTTCATCAGCTTGATGCTTCATGACTTTTATGAAAATTTCTCATGAACACGATTTGGACTTGTTCAGAAGTGTGTTACAAAAAAATAACATCACTTCTCTCTGGGGTCTAAGAGACCACAGCTATAAATACAATGGATGTCAATGTGCTCTTTATCTGTGATCGGTGTTGACAGTAGCTTTTAGGCAGCACTATCCTTCCAAATCCCAAATAAGTCTATTTATATTCCTGTTGCTGCAGTTCTATAATAGTTTGTTGATATAAGGTCTAACAGGGAGTGAGACCTCACTGGGGTCGGTTGACATGAAATATAAGTAATAGGATAATACCCTGGGCATTTCTTTGTCTGTGACTGAGGTTTTGGCAACCAAAGGGAATACATATTTGTTCATGCATTGCCTGTATCACATAAAAACAAGATATATTCCCTTATTTCTCCTAATAATATTTTTTTTCATACCTTGATCAAATGTACAAGCCCAGTTTGTGGCAATGGGAAGGGTTACCATCTCATACCGCATCTTCACATCATGAAGTAAAGCCAATCTTAAAAAGATATTAAAGGTTACTGTGGAGCCAGTAAATGGACTTCATGAATATTTCTATAGCCACTTTGCATAATAATAAATCACTTTTATTGCTATGTTCCCTCAAAACAGCTCACATTTTGCTAAAAGATATAGCGTGGAAATCGCTAATTCGTGGTTAACTCTTGTTTTATTCATAAAGCAAGAACATTGTAGAAATCATAGTGGATGGAGGCAGCAAAAACGGAAAAACCTCACCTCAGAGGCCCCCAAAAAGTTGACGGCTGTCCCTGTGATGATTGAAATGAAGAGGAAGAAACAGAGAAGCACCTGACATGCAGGCTCCTGCCAAGAGAGGAATACATTTCAGGGAAATACAAAGACGCTCATGGTCATCAGAAATTCAAGTGGCTCCATTCAACATCGCCCTACTACATCTTGCCCTGAACTGCTTAGCCAACCATGTCAATTGAAAAGTACAACGGTTAATTTCAAAGGGTCACTTTGCACAGATAGTGCTGCTAAGCATACAATTGGAAATGAGGAGACAGAAAAGCTACAGCAAATTTTTAACTCTGCTTCTCCCTTTATCCCTTTTTTCTCCTGCTCACAAACTATAAAATGCTTCCTATTATTATCTCCTGAAGCCTAATTTCTATATAGAGTCTTGCCAACTATAGCTGTACTTCAGCTGCATAATAAGTGCCTGGTCATCAGCCTTATGGATCATAATTTAAGCAAAGGGCATTGCTGGGTATTAATTTTTTTCTTATAGCTTCGGCAGGGAAGGAGGAAATCAACCATATACACCTTCCACACATGGTCATCAATCACACTTTGTGGTTGGAGTGTAACGACGGTGAGAGCAATTGAACAAAAAGAAAGAGACATAGAAGGGGAAGCAGGGTTGGTTGTGTTTGTGTGTTATACGGGAGGGAGGGAGAGGGAAAAGGGGGGGCTGCCTACACCCATACAGAGTGTGTGTGTGTGCGTGTGTGTGTATGTATGAGAGAGAGAGACAGAGTGACGGCGGGTGAGACAGAGAAAAGAGGCAGACTACATATCTGATCCACGCAGAGAGCTTCCTTTCACAAAAAAACACTCCTCCACTGAAGATGGAACAACTGGATCGCAACGCGCCCCCGTACCCATGAGCAATTAAGAGGTGAACGAGCAGTTATTGTCTTTTGAGGATCCGGACACGCGCTGAACTGTCATCTCTACACACATTTAGATTTTCAGTCCATTTTCTTTTTTCTTTTTTTTTTTGCCGTTTCTGTGGATTATATGAAAGCTGGCTGGATCCTGGGGACGGAGTGCGTCAAGTGAGCGCACGTATCCAACAAGTGGATGCATGAATTTGCTCGCAACAGACAAACCCTGGGAACAAAAAATACAAACTGCCAGTGGATTGATAACCTACAGTATCGATCGATCGGTTTAGAGCAGAGACAAATAGCCTGCACTCATTCGCACTGCCTCACATGTGGAGCTTGTCTGGGTTCCTGGTTCTGGTGATGTATATATGTGCGCATTGTCTCATTCTGAGGTAGTTTTCTCTCTAGAGACTTTTATCTTTTATGGTTTTCCTAGCAAATACTAAAACTGCAATGAGGTAAGACAACCCCCCTACATATTTTTTTGCTGCTCTTCATTCATTGACATAAAATCAAGATTTAGGCGGACACGCTGCGGAAACCGTTTGCCACCTCAACCCTCTCTCCCACATCCATGGACTTGCTTCCCTCGTTCCCTCGGTGACCGTGAGGGGGGAAGTTGGGCTCCTCTCTGTAGACATTCCTGTATGAAGAGGGCGCAGGTGGCAGCCAAAGGTCGCAGTCATGCCGATGCATCCAGTCACCTCCACGTTGATGTACCGGGGGATCTGCACCATCCCTGACATCCTCTCCTACAGCGCCCCGGTGAACCTGCCCGAAGACGAAGTTGAAGGTGAGATGATAGCCTACCTGTTCCCGTGTACACCCGAGGGTGCTCAGTGCTCCCGAGCAACTCAGGAGCTGTTTCCTCCTACCAGTGCTGTATGTGGCTGTGGTCAGCTCCTGCTGCGGTGGGAGCGCGGTCAGCACCTTGGACAGCGCTCAGAGATCTCTGATTTAGTACAGGGACATAGATTTTGAAATGTTTGATTATAAATCTTAAAAACAACTTCCAAAGGGGTTTGGACTCATTTACCGCAACCCCCCCCCCACGAGTTTAATTTATGAAACAGAATGTGCAAAAATAATCCCCCACTTTGTTATCAGTGCAACTCAAAGATCAGATATCTTGTTTCAATTTTCTTGCACTGATTGAAAATATAGATTTTTAGCTCAGTACAGGTGCTGGTGTGTTTTAAAACAACAAAAAAAACCAGGCATCTCTGCATCCTCTCTGCCATAAAGTGTTGCTTCTTGGGGTTAGCAATGATGCACTGGCTCTAACTAGAAGCAGAAGCTCTTCAGTGGAAATGTGGTCCATGGGAGCCTGAGTTCACTCGTCCATTAAATCTGGCCACACACACCTTTATGGTCAGATTGTCCAGAAGTGTTTGTTATTCCATTGTTTTTTTATTTTTTTTCTGCTGCTAAATGATTCAACTAAAATGTAGGAAAAATCTCTCTCTTGATTTGAAAAGTTATTTGTAAATCATTGAACCTTTGCAACTCTGCAGTGGCACCTGACAGCAAGAGAAGTGACATCCCACCAAACAAGCACGCAGACATACTATTCTGAACAATTTGCTTTTCAGTATCCTGAGAATATTCATGCTATGCCTGGGAGCGCTTTGTGATGCGAACCTGCGACATCTGCACATTATCATGCAGCAGCCCCTGGGACAATGTTCAAGCCCCACAGTGTGTGTGATGACATTAAGTTCTTGCATTGCTGCCGTGTTTTTCAGTGCGGTGGCGCTGTAAGGTAACAGCCGTATCCCTGATGAATGATTTTCCACGCTGTACCGCTCATCCTTATTAATGTGCACTTTGTTAGGAGGAAACAAGATTCTGGATGTTGGATAGATTCAGAGAGTATCTCTTAAAGTTATGCATTTCTGTTTAGGCTCTTACTGAAATGCATATGTGTGAAGTGCAGACAAGCTGAGTCTTGTTGTGGGATCTGGTCAGTGGGTGCTGGTGCAGAATATCCCAGGGATGGATCAGAAATGAACTGTTAATTGAACCTGGAGTTGCACACATAGGAGATCACACAGCCAAACACACACACACACACACATACAGGTTTGCATCTGCAATACGTGCAAAGACACACTTATAATTACATAATAAAGTTGGCAGGGAATGGTTTTCAGTGCTCGGGTTGATATTAATTAGAAAAGCTGAATAGACATGGTAAAATATGAATTGAGTTTGGACTCCAAAAAGGTGTTTAATGAACAGCGTGCGTGCACACACACACACACACACACACACACACACACACACACACACACACACACACACACACACACACACACACACACACAAGAAATGAAGGAATGGGTGCAAGACAGATCAGGCTGGTTTTAAGGTGTCAATATGCCCTCTGCAGTTTATATTCCACTGCTTTTGCGTTGACATCCAACAAACTGAGCCTGTGATAAAAGAGAACTGTCAACATCTCAGTGCCAAAAGTGATCTTTGCTTGGTGTCATGCCCATGATTATAGCATTGCATCATTCTGTGTTTTTTTTGGCAAACATGATTTCCAGTGTAAAGAGACATTGCATGACAGAAAAATATATTTTTCTTTTGCACTAAAACAGATGGACATCTCATATTTCAGACTCCAGCAGAAGCTTTTTGGCTGTTGAGATTGAGGAATTTCAGTTTCCCTTCCTGCCTCCCACTTCAATTTACAGTCAGCTTTGGGTGCAATAAACAGACAACACTTCATTTTGACTGTAATTACTCAAATCCACTTGTACCCTTCTGATGCAGTCACTCTGTCGCAAGACAAAGTGAGCCATTTGAGCTTTTTACAGCTTATATGGTGGCAGTTTGACTAGAGAGGCAATGGGATGCTTTGTGGAGAGAGAATAGGAGAGCCTGAGGTAATGCATGGTTAACAGTGGTGACAAAGCCTTTTTCAGCTGTTGCAGAACATTAGTGATCCCGTGTGAGGGATGCCTTGCAGGTTGTGAAAGAGGCAGACTTTTAAAGACGGTGTCACCGAGCAGATTGAATGTTGCTGTTGTCGATGGCAAAAGCACACCTGAGATTCACGGCTTTTTTTCCTGTCAGAGAGCACAAAGTGGGAATAATATAAATTTTATAGGGCTGGTTGGTTCGTTGAAAAGAGTAGTAAATAAATTCTTTACTATATGACAAGATGTGGGCATTCAAAACTCAGCTTTTAGTTTCTGGACACAACCCTGCTGTTAGCCTTGTCGTGCTCTCAGCTGCTCAAACATGGAGGACGGTGCTACAGATGAGCAGCTGGGATCATAAAGTAATTTCTGTTACTGCATTGTGATAAAGTCCCCTTTTTATCGGACGTTGCTCTGATTTTGTGACTTCAGGTCTTTTTGTAAGGTGATTTTGAACTGATGATGTTTCATAAGTTTGCTGTTACTTCTGTTGTGGGCATGACAGACCTCAGCTGGTGTTGAAAATACCTTTCTACACAGCTCTATCATCTGAAATCCCAAATAAATCTAATAGGATTTCTGTTATTGTAGTTTTATAACACAGAGTTCTGACAGGGAGTCAGATCTTATTCACCTGAACAAGTAACAAGTAACATCACTATGAAGGATACAGCATAATAATGCTTAGTTCATATAAATCATATAAGATATAACACATAATGTAATAGCAATGCTTTCTGGTTCACCTTCAGTAAATGTGGAAGCCCTGTATGCAGAAAAGAGAAGAATTACCAATATTTTTCAACATTACTGAGCTTTAATAAGGCCAGAAGAAAAAGATGCTACATCTACAAAACATGCAGTAGTAGATTTAGTGCAACCACAAACAATGAGAAAGTAAAGCCAATTTAAACAAAATGCAAGGGTTAACATAGTTGCTGTTCCTGGATTGCAGTTACCGTAAAGGTCAATAAGCTCTAAATTATAATATGCAGCCAACGATCTCAAGGACCTATCAGTCAGATTTTGACAGCTGTGACGTTTCATGACAGACTCATTGATGAGAGAAGGCGCTTGCTCGGGCGACAGTCTCCAAGTTTCGTCACCGCTCTCATCTCCGGAGAGACGGACGAGAATTGGCTGGAAGTCTGAGGTGTCACATACATCAGCTCGGCCGTCAGGGAGACAAGGCTTTGTCACGAAAACGAAATTGCACATTAGTGAATGTGTGTGTGCGGGTGCATGTATGAGGACAGGAGGCTCAAGCCCTATTGGCACGCATAGCCAAGGACTTGATTTTCAATTACTGGCTTGGACACCCCCAGGGAATGAACCAATGGCACCATACTTTGTGAACGAGAAGGCTGTCAAAGCTATAATTGGAACAAAATGCTATTTTTCTGATACTCGATAAGCCTGCGTGTGCGAGTATGTGTGTGTATGTGCGTGGTAGTATGTGGGTGGGTGGGTGGGGTGGTTGGCAGCAAGTGCCTTAATGTACAATGATGCGAGCATAAATTGAATTGGACTCCATATTCTCCATTTCCCCTCCTACACAAGAGGGAGGAAAAAAAACAGTTGGTCATATTACAGTAGCTCAATATAGTTTAGACCTCCTCCACCACTAAAGGATACACACGCACACACGCGCGCACATGCGCACACGCGCACACACGCACACACACACATATACATACATATACAAAGCTCAGTGTCAATTTCACTGCAGGTGGAATTAAGTAGGTAGCCCATTTCCACACTGCCTAACAACAGCCCTAATGGAAGCAGCTTCAGAATAATCCCAGGGCTGATCTTAAATCATTTGTAACAGGTCCCAGAGTGAGCTTCATGTAAACAGATGCCAGTAGTTTCCTGTATAGGCACAAGCAAAAACACAAGATAGGAGCAGAGTGGTTGCATCTTTGCGACAAGGTTGTGATCAGTGGAGTTTATTGATCTTTGCACTTGAAATCTTCTCCCGCTTTCCGTTTCTTTGTCTCTCACTTTTCCTATGTTTAGACTCATGGAAGTTGCACAGACGAGTTCAAAATTACTGAAATATAATGATACATATCATCATTTCTGCCTTCAGGTCACTTATGATTGTAAATATAGAAACGACGTTTGAGGAAAGTAATCTTATTTCAAGAATTAATCCCATTTTCCCACAACGTTGTTGCTCACAGATTTTCCAAAAAATCTCAAAACACCTTTATTCATTTTGGATCAAGTGTGAAAATAGGTTTTATTCATAAATGGTCAATAAATCCTGACGTAAAGGTAAGTTAATCCATTTGACATACATGAGCAAGCTGCTGGAAAAAGCTGGACATGAGGACAATGCACCTGTTTTCTAATGACTGAATTTTACGCATGGAAGAATGGAAGCATTGCAGCTGCAGTTTATTGGGGAAGCAGCAGATGTCACAAACATAAATTAATTCATAACAAAAAACCTAAACATTGCATTACTATCCCCATCTATACGCTGGTTAATCATTCTGAAAGCAAAATGTCAACACAAATTACTGTCTCGGTCCCTTTTATATGCTTACAGACGCCACTCAAAATATGCAGTACAAATACAAAAGAGCCAGAGAAAGGCAGACAGGAGAATTGACTTTATTTACATGGTTGTTATATTTGATGGACATCATATTTTACACGTCCTTTTACTGCAAATGGAAGCAGAATATCAAATAATTCTCAGATTAAAATGTCAGTGTATACAGTATATATCTATATATCTATATATATAGATATATAGATATATAGACATAAACATGTTTAATGATACCTTTCCTCACTCTGTGCCAGTTCCAGTGTGTTTGGTTTGGGCGTGAAAGCCTTATTGTTGAAGAAA